GCTCTTACTCATTTTAACTTAGTGGGTCATTAGTCTGATATGTGTCTTATTAACGCCAGGTCGGTTTGCAATAAAAAGATGGATATAGCCCTTTTTGTATCCATTTATCAACCATCACTTTTAATGATATCTGAAGCATGGACTAACAGTAATATTTCCGACGTAGGTATATCTCTTGATAAATGTTTCCGATATCAAAGTAACGGGTTGAAAGGGTGAGGTGGAGGATACATTATTTACACTTATTCTAGCCTAAACTCAGTATCATATGGTATGGCTGAACTAGAAAAACTGCAGGGTTCGGTTTGAATTGTTTGAAAGCTGTCGAATTCCATTTCCTAACTGTTTCTCTGTGTCTACCGTCAACCCGACACATCAAAAGGTAAAATAGCAAGTTTTTTTATCAGAGGTATTCACACTAGCATCATTCCTTCCATTCACAGGTAAATTTGTTCGTGGTGATTTCAACATACCCGAAATTTCTTGTATTCCAGTCAAGGCGCAGAAACGTTATGAATCATTTATTGAACATATAGAGCTTAGACAGAGGACTCAGTATGTCAGCAGCCCTACTAGACGTCAAAATATAATGTACTTGGTCTTTACCAGTGGCCTCACCCCCAATACTGTGTATATCGGAAAAACGTTTCCAGGTAGCGAACACAACATTGTTATATGTAGCTTTAATCTAAAAACCACAACTGGTAGACGTAAAACTGTAACACTTCGTAGAAACTATCTCAAGGTCGATTGGTAAAGCTTCCAAAACTACTTAAAAATTACTGACTGAGGAACCTTCTTTACTGTATACAATATCGGGGTCCTAAGCCTGTTACTGAGCTATTTGTTGAATACTATTGTCTTTCATCAACTGATAAAAAATCACCAAGTGAATCAGAACGAATCCCAGTACCTTCCTGTGGAGCTACTATTGTAGACTTCAATTAACAGAATATTTATGAAGCACACTGAAGCACTCCTATACTGACGGACCAGATGGTATTCCGGCTAGCATGCTATAAAGTGGGGTGATGATCTGTGTGTTTCACTTCTTGAGCTATTTGCGGTATCACTCTCTACAGTGTGTTACCTTACTGTTTGAAAAACTACAAATATCATTTCAAAATTAAGACAGTACCTGAAAACTGCCGGCCCATAATCATAACCTCAATGGTATCTAGAGTGATGGAGAAAGTGATAAAGGCGGCGGTAGTTCAACATTAACCTACTCATAACATCATCTCGGCCTCCTCGTATGGGTTTCTTAGGTCCAGATCATGTGATACATGCCTAGTAGACTATTTGAATAATATAACTCTGAAATGAAACAACGGACTCCTTGTATCAGTCTTATTCTTAGACTTCAAGAAAGCTTCTGATAAGGTCCAACACAGAAGGCGTCTCATCAAATTAAAGTCATTCGGAACCAACAAAGACTATATTGATGGTTTGCTTCATTCTTAACAGGGCGTAAACAAATGTTAAGGTGCAATAACTCTCTCTATCTCTCTCATCACCTAGACCAATAATTAGTGGAGTCATCCAGGGAAGTGTATCAGGTCCACTCTTGTTTCGTATGTACATAAACGATATACGTAACACCATAAAATTTGGGAGACCATACTTATACGCCGGTTATCTCAAAATAGTATACAGTTTTAAGCCTGAAGCTCCAAATGAAAATGTATCACAGATTCAAAGTGACCTCAACAACCCAAACATCTGGAGCAAAAAACGGCAATTACCATCTAACCACAATAAGTGTGGGATCATGCATTCTGGAAACATCCCTATGAACCACAACTTTACTTGAATGAAACTAGATTTCATACACTCAAATCAGTGCACGACCTATGTATTATTCACACGGAAAGCCTAAAATTAGAAGAACGTTCCTTCTTTATTGTTTCTAAATCTAGACGGCTAATTGGTTTCATAATGAAAAGTTCTTTACAACAGAGGCTACGCATACACTTTACAGGATATGTGTACAACCCTCCTTGAATACTGCTCTTTTGTCTTCTCAACATTGAATATCACAGACAAGATAGGAGTAAAGATATCCATTCTCGTCTACACAGATAGTTTTAAGCACCTCTGCTTAGCACGTTTAAGGCACCATCGACTGGGGAACAATCTAATGTTTCTCTATAGAGTAATGTATGGACTCTCATTTCTAACCTCCTGCCCAACCATGATCCGCTACTCAGTCTAAAGACTCAGAAACAACGCATATACAATACTTACAATAAAACACCAAAACCCGATGAGTTGTAATTATTTTACGGCGTGGTCTAGTTTGTTATCGAACGGGTTGTCAATAATTATCTGTAACTGTGACATTATCAATAAGTTCAAAAGACCCTGGCACTAAACTCCAATCAGCTTCATCAACTATTCCGTGAACTCACAGTCACCAATGAGGTATTGTATTATGGACCGCCTAATATCTAGAACGATCATTAATATAACAGACTTCAATGTCATTAATATGAATATAAAAAGTGATATAATAAATGGATTACTTTCTTCCATTACTTATTGATTATTAACCATGCCCTTATGCGCCACCATTAATGCCTCGGATGTTCCAGAGGGGTATAAGGTTGCGGGTTCTAAGAGCTCTCAGTTTCAAGTGGATTTATTCTCGACCATTAGTTGCACGTTCCAAAGCATTCTGCATAAAGCGCGCCAACTGCCATATTGACAATACGAGTCTCAATAATAATATTTACATTCATATGAGAGATGTTTTATTCCCCATAATTTCATGGCCAATGTACTTTATCAAATATCAACCTAACTGGGTAACCCAATACAGTGAAGTCTGTATCTCCTGTAACAATTTGATTTTGCCTGTGAACTGGCATGCCTCATGTAACAGACTGTTATTTGAGAATATGTTATTATTATTAAGGATATTCGGTCGACTTCCTGTGCTTCAGTCATTCGCATCTATAAGTCATCCAAGTGTATCTACATCTATATCAGCAGACTTTGGAAACCGAATCTAATTACTAATCTTATCTATCTTTGATTCTTATTAGTTCCGTTTACTTCTCGGTTTTGCATAATAATTTACACAGTCATTATGTTTATTCAGTTAATCAATTCATTTACTTGTCCTACTTAAAACGTATTCTTCCCCAGCCTGATTTTAACTGACATCTTATGGGTTTTACAACTTTTATTGGATGGCTAATGGTTTAAGCGACCCCATAGCTCAAGGGAAAACGCATGCATTTATAAACACCCTTAACCGATCAAAGTTAGACAACCACTGAAAAACTGAAGGCACTGGACGGCCAGTTCGTTCAGGTGTGAAACTACCTAGCGATGCCCGCCGACTAACTGCGAATTACGTATTAATCAATGATCCTGAGAAATTAAAATTGAAGCTATTTTCTGATGATAGGTCAAATTAATTAAGTCATACAGGAGTAGTCAGTATGGTGGATAGAAAAAATGAACACGTTACACAGTAATACATTGAATCTGGGAACAGCAATATATGAATCGGGTCATCAATAGGTGGCGATATGGAAGACACGGGTAGAGGGTTTCTCTCACACAAGCTCTTATATACATACTAATGGATTCTGCACTGGTCTTTGAAAGTGAAACATCAAACGATATCAAGATGTAAGCTTGGTGAATAGCTTTTTATTCAAATAACGTATGGGGCCTGTAAAATATCACTGGAGCGTACCCAAATCATACAGCCCGTGGGGCGCTGAATGTTGAACAGTTTACTGACCCCCGTCAATTTTAAAGATAACCAGCGTACATCATTATTTTAGATGTCACGGATAGACACATAAGACGGTGGTTTCATCTCGTATTTGTTTATTATGGTACAAGTGATATATGCTGTCGTCCACTGAGAGTATGTATTTGAACCGGCTAGTTGAGAACTCTATTCATCTGGTTATCTCAACAGCACAATCCAGGTTAAGTATTAAGCTAGAGGTGCGATTTGGATGCAAGCTAGGATGTCACATCACTGTCATGCACCTCGAGTAGATTACGGACATCCAGATCGATCTTATAAATTTTCTTTTTACACTCGATTGAACGACTCACATTCATATCGAGACAAGATGTACTTAGATAATACCAAATTTACGCAATAAATTACTACAATCTAAGTTAGAGTAGGACTGATAGAGTATGTCTTACAACAAAGGAAGTTTAACTACATTATTGCGTTTTAGAGGTGTGTGACTAAGTCTTGGAATTCCGAACTCCTCAGAAGTCCTTCGTGGGGAAACCCGACATAGTCTTAAGGATTCAGATTAACAGCTCGTTATAAATGAACAGATATATGTATTTATGCTTGTCTCATATATCTAAGTTGTTCTTGAAAGGGTTGGTGATTCATTTTTATAATACAAGGAATCTCTCTAAACGATTGATTAAAAAGTTAGTCTGGAGCGGTTCGCATCTATCCAAAGGGTACTTTGTGTATAAGAAGAGGATACAGAGTTGTATGAAGAGGTTAGAAAAGACAAGAACAAAGGGAAAGGAGAATCAACGACCTCGTGAGTGTACACAATCCACCTAAATTTACCTCCGAAAGCAATAAGCAACAATAGGCAATTAGACAAGCCTCAGATTAAGGTGAAGATGGCACAGGTATTCAGTGTTTGACAACGCTTTTACCAGTAACACTTAGTATAACGCGTACCCACCAAGAGAAATCAAAGACAGAAGCGAGGAGATCGGAATTGTCTGCTCTAATCTGGCTAGCGATTGTGGTGGATGTTGAGTACGGCGTTCTTACACGTGATCTGGTGTGGATGCATGACCGAGCGCCTTCAGCTAGGTGAGTCCACTAAAACATGTGGTCAGCATCCAATGTCGAAAACTTACAGAGCTATTTATTTTGGGAATTTATTTACCGCTACAAAGGCAATCTTGAGATCGAAAACAAGAAATTGTTAAACCGACTACAAAGTTATCATTTTAAAATACATTCAGCCCATATAAGTTTGAATGTTTTTCGTTGTCGTTTATAATGGAGCGAACATGTACTTAAAATTCTAATTTGAATTGTTTGTGAATTTTGTTTAACTGCATCATTGTGCATTCGTTTACTCACCAATTCAAAACCCGCGTTATTGACTGGCTTAGTTAGTATCCAACTGGCTTACAAGTTAGTTTGATGTTACAACGTTGTTTTGTTTAATTTAGATTTCCATGTGTTTATTAATAAATCCAACAGAGTGTCCATGCACATTTCTTGTATGGCACGCAATAAGATAGCACTTGAGCTCATTAATATGAATAGTCCTGGCTTTATTGATACTCATTTCGTGTTGTAATAAAGATTAGCCTAAGTTAATCCAAAATTTCAACGAAGAAAGCTTTGATCATGAAGAAGGTAGAAGAGATTCTCAATATTTCTGTTATTTCAGACTTATCATCAAACCACAGATCAACGGAGGTTCTGACTAAAACTTTTACTTAATTCAGATCCATCCCAAAATGTTGATTTCATTACTTCGGAAGACCAGATCATACATGTTTAAGAACTCGACATTATCATCGTTCTGTTCCTTACAACCAATGTGGTTGTATCATTCCTGAAACTTGTTCTCACTTTTAGGTCCTCGCGGTTGTGAAAGTTTTCGTATCCTAGATTTCATTTATGAGGCCAATGAAATATCAGTGAGCTCCAACTAGATTGTCTATCAAGCTGAACTGTTCCCGCGTTGGACAACTCTCATATATTAAATTTCTGATTGTCGTCGTTAAAATTAACACCTTTGTTTATAGCCACTAAGATCTTCAATCAAGTTCTTGTATTACGTCATGACATGGGTCAATCTCCCTAGTGAGTAACTTTGTCTGGATCTGATTTTTTGAGGCATTTACTGAGCTGACCGATGCTACTTGTTTTGGTAAGAGATTCCACTTATCAACCAATAAATTGGAAAACCAGAACTACATAATTGGTTGATATGGTTTCCGTAGGACAATTCAAGTCTACATATTTTCTTTTCTAAAGGAGTTCTACATTACGAACATTCATTTTACAGTACAAAATCACTGCCTTTGTGTTTGCAAAATAAAACTTGGTATCCTATTGGTAGATAAATGCTCCTTTTTCACTTGAAGTTGTTTTGGCGAGGCTCTAATTTAGGGACGACCTTTGAACGAATCTAAATGACCTTGACAATTATTAGCCAACCAGAATACAGTTAGTATAAAGTGAAAATATATTATATGAAAGTAATGAATTACAGTGGATATTCTTCTTTCACATGATTTAAAAACTTGTAAAGGTTTGATAAAGGTTCAGAGGTTCTGAATTCATAATGCATATGGCATAGAAACTCGTCCATAGGGTTAGGTTTAGGGTTAAGGTTTGGGTTAGGTTTAGGGTTTAGGGTTATGGTTAGGGTTTGGTGAGGGTTAAGGTTAGGGTTAGGATGCTAACATACGATCGGTTTACAACGGATTTTAGAGAAGAGGTGTTTATTGAGAGGCTTCAACCCTAACCCTTACCCTAACCCTAACCCTATGGACGAGTTTCTATACTGTATGCATTATGAATTCAGAACTTCTGAACCTTAATCAAACCTTTACAAGTTTTTAAATCATTTAAAAGAAGAATATCCACTGTAATTCATTACTTTCTTATAATATATTTTTACTTGATACTGTCTCCTGATTGGCTAATGATTGAAATTGCTCAAACGCTTCTGATTGGCTCGTCCCTAAATTTAGTCTCGTCGTTGTTTTCATCAAAGAGTGTACTTTTCTCCAATTTTCGTTTAATTGAACCAAATTACTCACTATTTTACTTTCGTTTCTAATTATCCGACGATAAATGTAGCGTTTTATTCACTGCGCTTTCGTCATATTAGCAATGTGTGATGACTCTTGGATTAATGAATCTAATATCAAGGATAGAGATTCTCTGATTACGTTGGCTAAGATTCAGGAGCAAGCTGAGCGATTTAATGATATGGCGTGTGCTATGAAGAAAGTTGTCGAGACATCAAAAACACTTAATAATGAGGAGCGAAACTTGTTTTCAGTGGCTTATAAAAATGTAGTTGGATGTTGTAGATCAGCTTGGCGTGTTGTTTCAAACATTGAACAGCGATTGGATGACCAGAAGAAAAAACAAGCGGGAGAATACCGTAACACTATTGAGAAGGAATTACAAGCTGTCTGCCAGGAAGTTTTAGTAAGATTTCTAAGTCTTCCTGACCACATTTCCTTATTAGGATTTATTACACGAGTCACTACTCAAAAGTGAAAATACAGCTGAAGGAATCGTGTTTTATAAGAAAATGGAAGGTGACTATTACAGGTATTTAGCTGAGGTTCTAACTGGCGACAAACGTGCTGATGTTGTAAAACACTCAAGGGAAGCTTATCAGGCAGCAACGGAGAAGGCAAATAGTGACCTACCTCCAACTCATCCAATCCGTCTGGGCTTAGCTCTAAACTTCTCTGTGTTTTATTATGAAATCGAAAACAACCCCGAAAAAGCATGCTCAATTGCTCAGACTGCATTTAATGAATCAATCGGACAGTTGGACCAACCTGAAAGTGGTTCCTTCAAAGATAGTACACTTGTAATGCAACTTCTTCGTGATAACTTAACTGTAAGTTGCTAATTTACAATAATAAACCTTTTCAGTTATGGACTTCTGAACGTGAAGCTGCTCAGTAACACAGAATATCAGTGGCCACTTTATTTTTACTTTGAAAACGTAACCTCAGAAATGCTCTTTACACTCACTTTATAACGTATGAACGAATTTATTGGTCACTTCTAATTTAGTCTCTTGAATAAATCATGTGGAAATTCTCGTCATTATATCATATGGTATACCAATTTTAATTAATATTTGTGTAAAATCCAGCTTTAAGACCATTCTTGCTAGTGTTGATGTCTGTTCAGTCAACTAAGATGAATAGCTGCTTTGTCAAATAAATTGCAAATTCACTGAGTCTATATTTCACTTGGTTCATATACGTTATTAATATGTCATGTCTAAACAGTAAAGGATTTTATATATTTACATATACAGTGTTTCACATTAAACGTATATAAGTAACTAAAAGTTGTTATATCTAAGTATGAACTCGGGAAGTTTTCTCGACTCACAAGGTTAGTTCACACTTTATTAAATAAAATTACAGAATGATGTCAGAGTTCCTCACAAAACAGTGAAAACCATCTTTTTGGTCACAGATACTGGACTGCTTTTCAAGTAAACATATAAACAGTCAATATTTTGGCGTAATGGTGATACATATCATTCGAAGGTTGAGAACGTTTTTCATTGGTCATCTAAATAATGTCGTGTATTGATGAAATTAATGTTATAAGCGAGGTTAATTTTATGTGTCGATAGTCGATTTAGGTACTGTTAATGGACTATCGTTTGTATTGACTTACAAAGGTCGAAATCGGTACTTAGATTTTACTGAGTCTGAATTCGCTTTTTATCATTTTCGACTAATAAGTTCTGCGTTACAGAAGAGGGATGTTTTGACATGGTATGTTGTGATATCAGTATTTCTGTTACTCATTCATAAATATGGTTTTTGTCACGCATTTCTGAATAGCCCCCACTCTCGTCTCTTTTGTCATATGTTTATGATAGTGAAGATCCAGGAATATTAACCACTCTAGTAATGTAAAAAACATCAATATTACATATTTATTTGGCTATGAGTTTAGTCACATGATGATATTTTAGCCTATGTAACATTTCATTCAACTGGATCCAAGTTCACACCCTCATAAAATCACACTGTTTTTGCTTAGAACCGAACAACATTATTTTACTGTGCCACATAATAGATTTATTTTCTGTCTTCACTCATCGTCATCTTGTTATTCGATAATCCTTAATTCATGGACAATTCATCTAAATGACTGTCCTATATAGAATATTGAATAGCAAATAACTATGATCTGGAACCAAATATCCTCATTAGTGAGAAATAAATATGAGGTTTTTTCAATCTCATGGGGACGAGTGAGATAGAAAATAGTATATTTTACCAACTTTAAACTTTCACGATAATGAAAACGTCATACCTATTCTCAAAATGATTGCTCTAAAAACAGTGTATTTACTCTTTAGAAATGATGAATTGTTTCTGTCTTCGCCTAATGTATTTTATTTGTTATCGTTATGAATTGAAGTTTTGAAGGGACATTGGAAATCATGAATTACTTGAATTAGCTGTTCAGTCTAAATTCATAAATTTTCAGGGTTGCATATCCTTAACTTATTCTGATGTAATCAATATAATTTGTTCGAAGCCTGGGATTAAATCGACCTTTAGTGATATAATGATAATATTAGTTGTGCATTTGAATTTAGTTAGATGAACCAAGTCTAAGGTGATAAGTTGAAAGCTTAGGCCGATCAGTCACGATAGGTAATAGCTCTTTGACGATTAGTGAAGATTATCTGGGTTTTCTCAAGACGTGATAAAATGGACCCTAATTAGAATGGATAAAGTTTTAACCTCGTCGGTTGTAAGTATAGCAAAGTAGTCTATAATAAAACCAACAAATAGAGCCATGTATTTAAACAGTTAGGTCGACAATTATTTCAGTAATACGACCTTATATTACTTTATGTAAGCAGTATCTTCAATCGGTGTTTACTAACAATACATATATTCTCAGTTTCCCTATACCACAAGCTTCATGAAACTTTGGTTTGGTGATACAAACAACTGACTTTTGACCTGGATCTGACAGGTCTAGAACTTGCTCCATTTCTCCAGTTTGGACAGCCAGGTGGTATTACAAGCTATCATTTGCACAGCGCGTTTCAACGTCATTGTTTAAGAATATTATAAATTAGTTATACACACTTGCTGCTTACCTACATCAATCTGTGATGTATACACTTGGTGGTTTGATCAATCTTTGTCATTTAGACTAACCTAGGCTAGGAAGCAGATAAGGGGTTGTTATATCTAATAAATTAGAAATCAAAGCTGCGGGGGAGGATTCCTTTAATCACATATTGGCCGTATCACTTGGTCAGCAGTGTGTCGTTTATTGAGGCTTTATGGTTTATGATAACTATATTGACATATAAATCTATGTACAAGTTTATCTTGCAAGGAAACAAAACCCAATATATACTAACGTCATTATCTACCCCTTATCATTCTTAATTGGGTTCTATATGCGTATATGAAGTAGACTGATGATCAGTTCACTTTAGAAATTTAGGTTAATTTATTCATCAGATACGTCTTGATAATTGAATGCGATATTTTCTAACACTGAATCTTGTGCAAAACGAACGTAATCAATTTCCTCATTCTTTAGTTCACTCAGTTTAAAAGGAAGTGTTGAATATTGATTATTACTCAATTCATAAAATCAATTTCGAATGCTAAGTAATTATCATCTCATAGCTCTGTGTTTCTTATATCTATTCCTAAGTGGTCTTAAACTTACATAAACACTTCAAATCTTCTACGATGTTGTAGTAGCTTACATCACGAATTGGTCCTAATTGAGCACCCACTGATAACAAAAAATAGTCCACTGCTATTTATTTGTCGTATGAAACCTATCAATGACAGTGTGCATCTATGACCATATTCTAGACTGAACTCAGGGCTTTCAGGTTTCTTGAACAGCCTTTAACCTTGAAACTATTGATTTGGTATCCACTGGTTCACAACTGCAACTTCAATTAATCCATGATGTTACTCAACCATCTCTCAGGATCATTGTTAGGTAACTGCCTTGCACAAGATACGGTTGAACTCCACTGGTCACAATTTTTCACTAGAACCCTTTGAATTACCTTTGAAAATTAGTAAATACTGGATTCGTGATCATTATTAATGTGTTTGTGTAAGTTATTGAGTCGTGAAGTTTACGTCACAAAATAACCAGGTAGTTTGCGGACGAAGACTGTCACTGAGGTGCACCTATTAATATTGCCATAAAACAGTTGTCTAGTGCTTTCTCGTTCTCCATAGTTGTCTAAATAAAATCAGTCAGTTTTCGAGCTTTGCGAAATCTTTTTCAAATTTTCCATTTCAATACCATTGCAAAACCCAGTTGATTGTTACGGGACCTATTCAACCTTGAGTTTCTACTTCTGTAATATTGTTTCATTGTTTGAAAAATTATTTTAGCGTAAATATGTAATTGAAGAAAGAAATCGTTAAAATTATGATAATATCAGGTATTCACTTGTTTTTCTTACCTTACTATAATCACATGAGGAAAACGTATTTAGTCCATTGATAGTAATTCATTTGCTAAGGAAAGTGGATGGCAAAAATTCATTTTGTATTGCTTGTTCGAATCTTCCCAGTGATGTTTAGGACTACGATTGCACAAACTAGTAGCTGTTTAAACTAAGTGGATAACACAATGGCTTTGAAGCGAACAGTAGTGGGTTCGGGTCCTGCAATGGGAATCAACTTTGTGATGCAGGTACATCCAGGTGATGAATTTCAAACACGATGAAACGCGCGTCCTGGACTTCACTGCTAGCCACCGTCTGTCCCTGCTCATAATGTATGAGGAAAATTTAATTTAGCCAATATCAATTACTTTGATGTTTGGTAATCAAATTACATTGGATAATAATAATCATGAAACGGTTTGGAATTGTGGTTAACTGCACTCGGTTTTAGTATTTTACGTTCTTGATTAAGTAATGTAAAATAGCCACTGGGTTAAGCTGTAATTTTATGATTGTCTCATCCCTACAGAGAAGATATAAGGAAATTGATTTATTTGTGCTGGTAGATTTAAATACGAAATATTCACTGACCAATTCGAACAATAGAATTAACTTGAAACATAAGTCAATTTATAAACGTTTCTTCAGTGGTAAGTGATTTTGAAATAAGATTCGGTTTTCTCCCTTACGCCGATAGTACACTAATTTGCCCTAGACGAATATATACACTAGATACCCTCCCAATGTCTATTCTACAGGACACCAACACGATTCGGATCAAGAACATCAGAGTGTAGTTCCACGCCAATAAGCGACAACAATAACTATAATAATAGGGGTAAGTGAATATATAACCGATCTAATACCTGTCAGACTATCTACTAGTCTGACTACGTAGACAAATCATCATTTTCCTCTCTCACACATCAGATTTGTCGTCTTCAAAGGAACTGACTTCTAAATTAATGCATTTAACTAGTATGTTGGAGGTTTGGACCTTGGTCCGCTTACTTTGTTTACGGCACACGGGAGTAACATCACTAGCTTTCACGTCCTAAATGTGGTTCAGAGTCAAGTATATAAACTTGTATTCCGATAAACGAGTTGAGTCACTGTGCTTGCAAGTTTCGTTATCATTTTGTGTTTATAAATTTCTGCGAAATATCTTATCCATTAAGTCGCTCACTATTCAATTTAGTGATGGTTAGATTTCAGGTCTATAACTGATAAGAACCGATAAGTTTGAGTGTTAGGTCTTTAAATATTTTCTATAACCCTAAAAAATGCTTCTTGACCATACACTGTTTTTTTTCCGGCAGAGTTCATGTCAGTAATGTCTACATGGATTTGTGTAAATGACTAGTGTTATAAATTGTAGTCTTCAGTCTCTACGTTAAAGTTTCTACGTCTAGCCAACATATGGACGGTCTTATCGATTTTCTTGTAGTCTGTTTCTATGAAGTTGACAATTTTAATGATCATATATTATACACAAAATGAATATATATCGATAAGTTTGATTAGAATTACGCCTTGGCTTCTTGTGTGTTGTAACGACTATTTGTCATGTTTGCGTTGTTCAAACATTGAGCCTTTGACAAAACGGGCTGTAATTGAATCTGTTTTCTTGAAAAAGATTAGAGACATAGACTTGGAAAACATAAAGTCATGATTTTCCTTAATGCTACAGTTTTCTGCCTTTGTCCAGTACATGACTTGGTGTTATTTCAAAATTAATTTTAAGCTATCCAACTTACAGAACAATAACAGTGAAATTCATTGCATTTTTAATGTCAGATATTCAGAAGAGATTGAGGGAAAGCTGTTCATCTAAAATATTACCCAAATAGCTCATCAGTATAATCTGTTTCTG